AAAACTAACTATGCAAGAACAGAATTTTTTAGGTCGTCTTTTTTTCCCCAGAGTTGCTCGTCTTTGGAACAATTTACCTATATCTATTAGGAGAAGGGAAGCACTTTCTATGTTAAAAAATGACCTAAGACTCTACTGTTTTGCTATTTATAGCAGTGATTTAATGTAATTGTTATTTAATTTTAGTTAGCACTAAGTTTTAACACGTAACATTTTGCTATACTCGTTTTATGATACTGCCTGTCATTATATAAATTTTGTTTTTGTTCTCGTTTTCATATATATAGTTTGTGGTGTCCTTTATGATGAGGGAAGTTCATTCCTATTGCTAGGTCTTCCAACAGCTATTTAATTATATGTTTGTATGTACATATGTTTATTTGCTGTAAATTGATTAAAGTTAAAGTTAAAGTTTAATTCAGAAGCGATCACTTGAGATGCACTGGTCAATTGGGATGTTACTAAAACTGGTAACGGGGAACGGGGAACGGGGAACGGGGAACGGGGAACGGGGAACGGGGAACGGAGAACGGCGAACGGGGAACTGGTGTACAGCGGTAACCCGCCTAAGAATTCAAAATGGCGGAGTAAAGGGAACTAAAAGGGTCTGGCAACTAGTTTTGAGTATGTGCTCTTCGAACGCGATCGTCGGAGCAAAAAGCATGGAGGGTAAGTGTAGGTTTTATTGAACGATTTTACTTTGAAATGTTGAGTGCCTCATAGGTTTAGTTTTTGTCTGGCATACATTGCAGGTTGCATAGAAATAAAATCTTCGGAGAAGTGAGTATCTTACAATTCATGCACAACATTTGAACAATCAACTCAGAACTACAAGCTCGCGGCATTTATTCTTGTATTCCTAGAGTAATTGTACTGCAAGGTAATGAGCTTTACTTCCAGTAACTTCACCGTTACAACCTAGCAGTGTCAATAATGTTGTAAGGCAAACAGCTGAATGACTTTCACGCCCATTATAGGAAGGGTGTGAACAAAACCTGGCCTAGGCCATGGCCTACCCTGTGGCCTATCCTGTGGCCTACCCTGTGGCCTACCCTGTGGCCTACCCTGTGGCCTACCCTGTGGCCTACCCTGTGGCCTACCCTATTGCCTACCGGTGGTCAGATTTTTAAGAACATAAAAATAAAATCAGTAAGAGTCGAACGAATGCGCTGGTGTACAATTATCTGACTCTGAAAAGGGTATATTAAGAGGTTGCTAACACGATTTTCAACGTCCGAGGGAACAAAACACTGCAAATATCCCAGCACTTAACCATAACGGTAGGTTAAGGGAGAGGGGAGAGGAGGGGCCAATATTGCGTGGTCGCAGAGGATAAACAAAATGGCGGCTTTATGATGCAGGCTGTCAGTTGGTAACATATAGTGGAGTGGTGGTGTAAAAATGTAATGAACGGCGTTAGATTGGAGAGCATACATATACAGGTAAGAAAACGCAAACATTACGTGTCAGGCCAATCTTTTAAGTGCCCTCAAGTGCGGTAGAGTAATGAATTTGCAACGAGCAACCCGGGACACGCACGCATCGCCGTCGTAAACATTTCGCAAACTTTACTTGCTTTTCCAAAGGGCCTGTATTGCATTCATTTGAAAGGAAAGCTGATATGATGATATTTGCCCAAAGGTTGCGTTGAACCGGCTTCTGTTCCTCGACTTCCTTATTCTATCAGAAGGTTAAGAAATTTTGATCGGAATGTGGCCGCCAAAACAGCAGAAGAAAGTCTTTAGTAAGACGGTACTCAGGAAAACGTTGAAAGGTTTCCAGCAATGCTATCTTTTTAAAAATCTGACCACCGGTAGGCCATAGGGTGGGTCAAAGGGTAGGCCATACGGTAGGCCATGGCCTAGGCCAGGTTTTGTCCACAATCTTATGGGAATCACTTTCTCTTAAATATGATCAATGCAGTTTAAATACTATTGTAAGCATTAGCATGAATGTGAATTCATACACCTACATTCTTGAAGACATAACTGATGTTTTCCTATTAAATTAAATTTTATTAAAAGTTCTGTCCATGCTTGATTTCTCTATTGTTTACATGGAAGTTTATGGGTCAATACCAAGATATGTTCCTGATGTTATTTTGCGGTAAGGTAAGCAGATATCTGCATGTAGTAATTTTAATAACTAGGCTGGTTATTAAGTTTCCTAGCTCATTTCTGTTAATCTAAGATATTACCTCTTTGCTACTTATCTGCAAAAAATGCTGTTGGGCAATGCAAACAACCGACATACCCAAACTCTGCCATAAGATGCAGAAAAACGAAGAGAGACGTCAGAACAAATCGGTGGCAGCTATTGCAGAAACGTGGACTTCGAATTCTTGCCTCGGAATACTAGGCTTCGTGGCTTCGCCAGGGCAATAGTTAAGTAAAAGCGAGCCATCTAATTTCACTGCAAGCGGCGACCTAGCGATAAAATCAGTGTTTGTAAACATCGTTTACTCCGCCATTTTGATTTCTCTGGTGGGTTATCGCTGTACACCCGTTCCCCGTTTCCTGTTCCCCGTTCCACCTTCTCCGTTTCCCGTTCCCCGTTCCCCGTTCCTCGTTCTCCGTTCTCCGTTCTCCGTTCCCCGTTCCTCATTCTCCGCTCCGCGTTTCCCGTTCTCCGTTCCCCGTTCCTCATTCTCCGTTCCCCGTTCTGCTTTCCCGTTTCCCGTTCTCCGTTTCCCGCTCCCCGTTTCCCGTTCTCCGTTTCTCGTTCCCCGTTCTCCGTTCTCCGTTCTCCGTTCTCCGTTCTCAGTTCTCCGTTCTCCGTTCTCCGTTCTCCGTTCTCCGTTCTCCGTTCTCCGTTCTCCGTTCTCCGTTCCCCGTTCCCCGTTCCCCGTTCCCCGTTCCTCGTTCTTCGTTCTCCGTTCCCCGTTCCTCGTTCCCCGTTCCCCGTTCTCCGTTCCTCGTTCCCCGTTCCCCGTTCCCCGTTCCCCGTTCCTCGTTCCTCGTTCTCCGTTCCCCGTTCCCCATTCCCCGTTCCCCGTTCTCCGTTCCTCGTTCCTCG